TGCCAGCTCCCTCTGCCTCTCCAGAGCCCAGAGCTGCAGCCGCAGAAAACCTCCTCTCCTCTGAGGGTGATCCTTCAAGATTAGCCTCACAGTTTTCCTTCTCACTGTGGCACTCACTCGGCAGCAGGCTGCTGCCTTCCCTCGGTGTCAGGAGCTCCAAACTCTCTCCCAGCTCCTGGGACACTTGATGCCCAGGGAGCTTGCAGCCAGACTTCCTCCTTCCCTTTGGTTTCCCCCGGGGCCGTCTCTGACCCCGCTTTGTGCCGGTGCTGCCGTTCTGAGCAGTCGATCCCAGTGAAGTGCTGCTGCCACTGGATGCAGGGAGAGATTTTGGGGGACTGCTTGGACTTGCTGAATCGTTGTCTGCACCAAGAGGAGGCAGCGGCACGACACCTGGCTCCAGATCATCTCCAGCTCTTCCTTGGGTGGGCCGATCTGAATCTGCATCTTTCTGCTTGCACTTCCCCCGCTGACCTTTCTTGCTCCTGCCCAGCTGGCTGAGGATCACAGCGTCAAGGTTCAGCTTCCTCTGGCAGCTGGACATGCGGCGGGTGGTCCTGACGTAGTACTCCAGGGGGAAGAGAAGCCCTTCAACCACCGTGCAGGAGCCGGGCGCGCAGCCGGCGGCCGCCGCCTCTGCAGGGTGGGAAAGTCCTGACTGAAGTGCAGGCTGTTGGTTCTCCAGCAGCTCTTCAGCTCCACCCAGAGCAAGGGCTGCAGGAAAGGGATTTAAGCTGCCGGTGCCACTGAGATTTCCTCCACGGCCTCTGCTCTCCTCAGCTGCGGTGCTGCTCCCGTCAGCAGGCAACACTTCGTTCTCTGACATGAATTCCAAGAGCCTCTGGAGTTCCCCCTGATCCTCACACGTCCCCTCGCTGGCCGTTTGTTTCGTTACACTCAGGGGTTCCTGCTCTCCATCGCCACTGGTGCCAGGTGGTGCTGGGTGGCTGTGCCCCAGACAGGGCTGTGCAGGCTCAGGGTCACCGGGTGTCCCCGTGGCATGGGGGGACTCGGGCTGCCAGGTGTCCCCGCTGCCCCTGGGCGTACAGGGGGACAGCTCGGGCACCCCTGGAGGGACGCTGCCTTCAGGCCCCTCTTGTACAGCTCCTGACACTGCTCTGGGAGGGGTCAGACCCTTTGCTTCCTGCAGCAGGGCTCCTCTGGGCGGGCTGGGAGCGCTCTCCCCCGCGGCCGGGTGGGTGCTGTGCCCGTGGGCTGGTGACCCCAGTGCCCCCGTGCTGCCAGCTCCACTGCTCCCCCTTCTGCCAGCTCCACTGCTCACCCTTCTGCCAGCGCCGACCAGACACAGGTCACACCCTCCTCCCCTCTCCTCCGGTGCCAGGGCCTTTGCCCGCCTGCTCAGCTTCATCAGCCTTCGTGGGGCCTGGGGCTCCTCCTCCGCAGGGCCAGGCCCCCTGAGCCCACAGCACGGGGGGTCCTGGCTGGCCTGGGAGCTGCCCCACAGGCTGCCCTTGCCACTGGGGAACTCGGGAGCACGTTCAGATGGGACAGGTGCCTTCTCCTCTGGGTCAGGATCAGAGCAGGCACCAGTCTGTAACTGAGAGGTTCCATGTTTGTCAGCACTAGGATACACGGAATCTCTGGAACCTATGGGGGAAAATGTCATATGTGTCAAGTTCTTCCAGCAGAGACCTGTCCAAGAAAAACATCACACAGTAAAATTCCATGACTTTGTTAGGAGTGACAGTGGGACCACACAGTGGGGAGCAGGGCGTGCTGTGGAGCTGGGGAGGGGCAACAGAGGGGAGATGCTGCTGCACGCCAGCGTTCAGGGGCA